ATGGCTGCAAAATTTTGCTAGCACCTTGACTAAGAGCACCGAAACCCATGTCACCGGCAGGCCTAGTTTCAAACCCTGGACAGTTTTCTTACAGTTATATTTCACAGTAGCCAAAGATTACTTCGTTATCATCACACTTGCCAGCGAGCATCTCTGAAGGAAGGATTCTGTTAGCCTAGAACTTGAAACCTTCTGCCGGTATGTTGGTGTTACCGTCAAACTGGAAGCCCTCAGTGGAGGCCTGGGGAGCCAGGTTAGGATCTTCTTCAATCTAGAACAAAAACAAAAATATGCAGTTAGAAAAATATACAATATTTGAAGCAGCTAGAGGTAGGTGGTAGATTAATTCCAGTAACTTACAAAGTCGGTGACAATGTGAGATGGTCTTTGCAAGACCCATTCAGCAATTTCAATTTCAATATGGTCACTTAACCAAGATTTTGAGTTAGTGGATCCCTAAAGGAAATACTAAACAAACTGAAGAAGACAAGATAAAATGCACCATGAATTTCTGAGAAAACCTAGCCTGGGTGCCATTCTTTCTGAACACTATGGGAATGCCAGTATACAAATAACTGAAGAAGATAAAATGCACCATAAATTTCCGAGAAAACCTAGCCTGGGTGCCATTCTATCTGAATACTATGGGAACCCCAGTATACAATAGGATTGCATCCAGGCTAGAGAAAACCAGACACAAGACTTACATCTGCGCTGAAGTACTGGTCGATGATCTCGTACGCCAGCTTGTAGATGTCTTCATTCTCGTGGTTCTGGAGAGCCTCGATCTTGTCCAGGCCGTGACACTCCTCAATCTGCGTCTCGATGGCCTCCACGTTGTCGGCCATCTTCAGGATGTTGTTGATCCCATCCAGGACCACCTGGATGACCTGGGTGTCCTTCACGCTCAGCAGGTTACAGAAGGGAGGAATGACCCTCTGGTTCACAAGGTACTGGACCTGGGGAAGTCAAACAATGCACGGTTATGCACAAATGTTCACAGAAGGGAGGAATGACCCTCTGGTTCACAAGGTACTGGACCTGGGGAAGTCAGACAATGCACGGTTATGCACAAATTTTCACAAAAAGGAGGAATGACCCTCTGGTTCTTGAAGTACATGGGGAAGTGAGGGTGCACAGTTATTACTAACAGCTACAGTTTGATTCATAGCTTTGAAAAGCCCCCCATAATGGTAAAGCAGTGCTGGCATGATTTATTTGGTTCAAGTAATCATAAATGTCACCTAGGCAGAAAAATATTCTGGGCCCTGTATTTCCATACCGAAGAAGTTCATTCATTTTTAAGGGGACTTAATTTCATACTAGTACAAGGGGAAAAGAGATTTTCTACAATTCTGAAGTACAGTAGTATTGCACTGGGAATGCATATCTGTGGTTCCATGAATTTGTAATGGAGAACATTTCAAGATTGTCCTCCCTACCTGATCCTTCCTCCCACTGATGGTGAGGTTACTGATGGCCCAAGCGGCTTCCTTCTGTGTCTGGAAGTCCCCGCGGCTGAGGTGGTGGATGATCATGGGGATGAGTCCTGCCTCGATCACCGCCTGTACCTGCTGCTGGTTACCAGCTGTGATGTTGGACAGGAACCAGACAGCCTCCTATACACACATAAGGGCAAACACAGTCATGATATATGTTACATACATGCCTGTTTTTGTCTTGTATATATGGTTGCATTGGTTTTGTATGTATTTTATGTGTGTTATGTATGTACCCCGGGGCTCTTTGAAAAGCTGTAACCGAGACTAAGTGAGAGAATCACCTAGGAAACAGTAACATATGCTCTGCCTCTGGACCTGGGGGTCAAGAGTTTTAATCCCGGCCTTTGTTGCTCACCTGACTTGTTTGCTAGTAGAAAGGGTTGCAGTGGTATGCAGAAAATTGCAGACATATTGCATAAAATTTATTATTGCCCTGTCTTTTTAGCTTCAATTGGGAGCTATGGGGAACATGGCATCCTGACATTAACAACAAGTATAACAAACGTAAAAAGTATCCTCTGTGTATCTATCAGTATTACTTTTAGGCAATTGTCAAGGCATGCTGGATCAGATTACTTACTACGTCGGCATTGGTTCTACTGTCCATTGTTTATCATTCACACAGATAGATAAAAATTGATACTTCTAACCACTATATGCCTCTTCACTTTTGCTGAAAAGTGATTTCTCTAGTAGTAGTAGTAGTACTTTTAGACAATTGTCAAGGCATGCTGGATCAGATACTTACTCAATCGACATTGGCTCTACTGTCCATTACTTAGCACTCACACAACTTCTAAATCTAAATTATGAACAAGAAGAAAACAGACACTTATCATAAATTTAACCACTACATTTTGTATATGACAAAAGTTTTCTTTTGATGAAATCTTGCTTCTTCACTTTTGCTGAGGCCAAACGTCAAGTTCTAACTCAATCACCCACACATTCACACAGCCAACGGATTGTTGTGTAATCACTAGTTTGTAAGACAAACTTCAGATGCACTCCTGTGTCAGGCACCGCCTGTACCCAGGCTTGTGGTTGGCAAGGGTTGTTTCACACGCATGCTTACATCATCACACACAGGACAGAGTACCCTTAGGAACAACACTCATCATTTCCAGCTTCCTTTCCAATTGTACTCATCAAGACTCAAGACTAAGATAAGCATTGTATTGTGGTACTACAATGTGTCTGTTATAATTTGCCATGACCTTTTTTGTTTATTTCTTTGAAAAACTCAAATAAAGAGGGATTAAAAAAAGACTTAAGCTCACTGACACAGCAATTTGGGTTCCAATTCTCATTGGTTAGACTGCACGAAGTTTTTTATTGAAAGAACAACAAAAAGATACATATACAGTGCTGTCATGCTCAAGCTTGACTTACTATTAGCATCTTTGAAGTGTTAATGTATTTCATTATGTAGTTTTGATACAGGTTCTCAAAATAGCTCACTAACTATGAACCAGATTGTTGAAGTGTGTGTGAAAGCACTTCACAGTGAGTTTTCCTCCTTACCTTGTTGATTTTCTCCTTGGTGTGGTTGAGCAGGGCAGGGAAGTGGTCCAGTACGCCACAGTTCAGCACCACCTGGGTCTGGTCATCTGTCCCTGTCACTATGTTTCCTACGGCTCTCAACGCAGCAGTCTGGGGGGAAAAACATGCAAGTTCGGTGTAAAAATTCCTTGGGTCTAATTTTCACTTTGTGGCTCACTTACTACTTTTTCAACACTAGTTACCATAGTGATAGACTGGTTCAGGTCATTGACCTTATTGGTTTGGAGAAAAGAAGAAACAGATCAAAAACAACATATTTTCCTTCGGTAAACATAAAAAGGACTCCAGAAAGATTTGTGTTTTACCACTAAAGATTCCTACTAACCAACTAATCATGACACATCCTCACCTGAACTTTGACCTCCTGATGGCTGAGCAGCGGTACGAGGAAGGGCACGACCCCGGAGTCGATGACCATCTGTATCTGCTCGTTCCCTCCGTCGGTCAGGTACGACAGCGCCCATACTGTGTCCACCAGGATGTTGATGTCCGTGTGGTGGATCAGGACGTTCAGCGCAGGAAGGATTTCCTAAAAAAAAAGAGAGAGATTTTGAGCTTAGTTAAGTCATTCATTTTCGTGGGTACTTCACTTCACAGTAAAAGGGGGGGGGGGCACTAGAGTTTTAGGCTGTGGTTGAAATAATTCCGTTGTACAGTAGTAATACATTGGAGACACATATTTGGTGTCATGATTTTGACTGCAAACAGAAAACTACCATAAAAGATTACACTACCATATAACATAAAAATTTCCTTTACAGTCTATTTTCCATGTATTGTGTCTATGTCTGGATAATAGTCATTGACTTAGAGACTCTCCATCTTACATGTAATGTGTCTATGTGGGGAGGGTGGTCTGTATCTGTATCTGTATCTGTATCTGTACAGCTGGCATAACCGCCCTACAGCAGGACCTTGTTCCTACATACCTGTATTGTCTCTATGTGGGGAGGGGGGTCCTTGTTTACATACCTGTATTGTCTCTATGTGGGGAGGGGGGCCCTTGTTCCTACATACCTGTATTGTCTCTATGTGGGGAGGGGGGTCCTTGTTCCTACACAGGTTGACGATGACCCAGGTGACATTTCTCAGGAAGGTGATGGGGATTGTGGGGTTGATGAAGGACAGGAGCGGCTTGACCACGCCCTGGTTGATGACGTAGTCCCTACACTGGGGGCCATCACCTGTAAACGGAACACAAAATTGTCACTTCAATAACAACAAATTAAAACTCAGCCACCACTACTTACTTAGCCAGTATTGATGACCTGCTCACTTCAGTTCTGCACAGAATAGACTTCCATAGCAATAGCATTGTTTGCACTTATAAACCTGTTTTTTTTCTGAGAGTTCACCAGTGTCACTAACGAAAGGTAGTGGATGCAACCTCAAGCATCTGACCGTTTCCAAAATCATACCCAGTTGCTTGAGTAACTGTTTTTTTGGAGTTTCTTATTACCTGGATGTCTAACCTTCACTGACATGTTGAATTTTATGTTACGAAGTTGCCAAACAACTGTGAAGGTTTTATTTTACTGACAATGCCGTCAATCCATAAGGGGCATATCACAGGGTAGCATTCATAGAGAAACTTGTAGCAAAAGGTACAACTCCTCACCAATGATATTGCCTAGTGCCCAGACTGCTTGCTCGCACACGTTTTGATGGGGAGACTCCAACAGTCCCAGAAACAGGGGCACAGCACCGGCATTAACTACTGCCTGTGTCTGCTGTGAAGTCCCTGATGCAATGTTGGTGAGGGCCCAGGCAGCCTCAAACTGTAGGGAGGCACTGTGGGACACAAAACACAGCATCAGTTATCAAATCATAAGATTCATGTACAATGTAATGACTTACTTACTGGTACATCTTATACAAAATTCTACAAGAAACAAAATAGTTATAGAGGGATTCTTTTCTGTAATCTTTAGGGAAACTGCATTTATGGTGCCATCAATGACTGAAGTCATGGGTTCAATTCCTGGCTTTCCTGGCTAAACATTTTGTCCTTGGGAAAATTGACTTTCTTAACTCGATGTTCGTTGGTTGGTGAGGTAAAAAATGAGAGGGACGAGCTTCATCTTCCAATTAAACACTGGATAACAATGCACTGTCCCGAACAACTATGGGACCTTTACTTTACAATCAGAGTGTGCAATTTATAAGTTAGTTGAGAATACATGTACTTACTTCTCGTTGTTGAGACAGTGGACCAGGATGGGTAGGATGCCAGAGTTGATCAGGTCATCAATTGGGGGATTGCGGTCACTGGACAACAGTTTCCTGTAGGGGAATTCGTGAAATTTTATCAAATATATGAAATAAAGACTTGTATCAACACAAATGAACTTTCATCTCTAGTTTATTAAAAATACTTAACATGTTAGCTGTATGCATAGATACAGCTTCAGTATCTTAGCTTTGTTCTTGTTTATGATTCCATATCGATATCAAATATTACAGTAACCCACTGACCTTGCAGCTTGCACTGCCGTCAGCTGGACTGACACATCTGAGCTGGTGGCATTCTGAACGATCTCGGCCAACGTTTGGTTTGTCTGTGGAAATACAAGGGAGAAAGAGTCATTAACCAACCATACACAAAGGAAAGGATATGAAGCATGTGTAATCATGGTGCAAGAAAGGAAATCTTCCTCCCTTAAGAGAAGAAATAACAGTAGTTAAGAGTAACACAATCAAAAATTCACTTGCTAAAACAATATTTTCATACACTTAAAAAATAAAAAATAACAAGAGAAACGGTAACCTAACAAAGAGTACTGTATACACATATATTACACAACAAGGCCACAAGATGAATCCTGGTTGTCCTGTAAACAATGAAAGTTATCAAGGAAAAAATCTATTTAAGTAATATACGCTATACATACACACTATACATGTAACTAGCAATGCATGTATACTTAATAGAGGTGAGAAGTCACCGCAAAAAAACACAAAAAGTAAACCACCCATAACATTTCAAGATTTCAAGATTATATACATGTATATTATATAATAGCACCACATTGCTAATTTCCAGAGAGAACCCTGCTAGCCTTGCATCACTTACAATACCTCCACAAATCACAGACAACAAGCAAATGTTCTAATACAGTACAAACTACCACACAAAGTGGGACATGAAGAACATCTATTGCACAGGCATGATGCTGCATGAAGGTGTTAGCAAAATAGCTGCTTCAAACTCCTACTAGGGTTACTGGGTAGGAATGCTGAAAAGGAGAATGGCTTTGTGGAAAGAAAAGTTTACAGTTTTTTTTTTTCAAACAGATAAAAAAAAGAATTTTATGTAGTCAAGGTTATTTTAACCTTCTCCCAGCTGAGGTGGCCGTTTGGCATCAGTCTGTATTGCTTACAGTAGGTTGGCAGCAGGGAGAAGGTTAAAGATAGCTGCATGCATGTGGCTCAGGCTCTGAAAGGTGCATTTTGATTGCAGAGCTATGTCGTGCAGCATTGGCAGAGTTGCACCGTTTAAATTGCACCTACCCCGGATGCATTTTCATTATGAGATGCACCATCAGAGCGGGGATGTAAATAGTAAACTGAAAGAGACTGGAAAAATGCGGGGATGACTTTCTGGATTGTGTGTTTCTGCATCATTTCAACAAAACTAATGAGGTCAGCACTTTTTTTGCTACAAATCTCAGTTCATGCATACATGCACTAAAATGCAAATTGTGGATGTTGCATGCAAGGTTCTGCCTCTTCCATGGACTGTGATGCTGAAATCCCAAGAAGTTTTTCCAAAAGGTAAAAAAAAAATACAAAAAAAAAGATGTTTTCATTGTATTATAGACCAAGTTTTCCAAAAAAAGATTCCCAATTTATATGAACTCATTCCAGGGACTCAATAAGGCCATGTTGATTTGATTATATGGATGACATCCGCGCGCGCATGAATTTCCGGCCGTTTCCAAAAAAAAAAAAAGTTTTCAACCATACTGTAAATCGTACAGAACAGTTGCAAAATGAGCAAAAATATACCGTAAGTTACAAAAAAATAAGTAAAAACTATACCAATGTTGTAGAATGCCAAAATCAAACGAAAAAAGACGAAATTGTAAGGAAATGAACTTGAAGATTAGATTATTCGCCAAACCATCTTCTGTCCCATTTGTTCAACCCTCATGACCACGTAGATTTCATAATGAAAACAACTTTTTTTTTTGCAAAACTTTTTTTTATTCGCACGCGCGCATCAGTTTTGGGGCTCCCGGAGGATGTCATCCATATAATCAAATCAACATGGCCTAACTAGAAAAACAATGTTTTGACCTGTGACCTTTGTCCTACTCAGCTCCAGTACTGAGAAGTACCCAGCCGACAAACTAATTACATTATCTTGTTCTTCTTCAATTATTCAGTTCAATGGACTGGTAAAAAAGCAAGTACTCGGAAGCCCTGATAGCACAGCATTGGTGAACACCCACATAAACACAATTCTTTGACGACACTTGAGAACTTACCATAGCATATCCAGATGTTGATAAATATGAAGATAATTACTGTATTTGAGGAGTGGGTCATCCTTGTGTAAATACATGTACTCGAACCTCTTCGCATTAATTTTCAAAATTAACATATTCCTGGCAAAAAGACTAATTTCCATAACCAATTCTTCCTTTTTATAATTACAATGCACAAGGAAAACAAAAGAAAATTTGTCTGGGGCACTGAAAGCCGAAGACAACTTTTACTTTGTGGCACATATAATTCAATTTTTAAGCAAAAGATACATACCACCGGTTTGTCACCTTCTTCAGACTCAGAACTGTCTATCCTTGGCACATTTCTTCTCTTCAGCAGATGCTCTTCTCTTTTATTCTGTAAAGGGGAATTGGTGAATTAACTTTTGCACGTGGGTTTCAAAATATTTGAACTACACATAGTTGAACTACTTGTAGAAATGAAACTGTGTACATGAACAGTTAAACCTCAACTTTGGGAAAATACTACTACTAGTATGTTTCAAACTTTCATTCAATTACTGAATTGGAAATAGCTCATATTCTTACATTCTTCCAATTCTGGGGTTTCTAAGGTTTTCTACTTTGCCACATACTGTTAATTTATTTATTTTATTTCCTAGTAGAAGAGGAAAAAAGGCAGTTTTGTTGGTTTTAATTTCAAGGATTAAACAATTCTGTAGTACAGTAGTAGTACAATAGAAAGAATTAAAATTATTCTTCGTGATCGCATTAAGTTATACCTTTAATCTCTTTTACTTCTGTTACTAACAAAGTGATTTTTTGATACAGTACACACGTGCAGTTCTGTAGAATCATGTTGATTCTGTTGGTATGTTTACATAATACATAATACTTTAATTTTTGGAAACAAAAAAAGAATGGTTACCTTTCTCAGTTCCACTGTAACCTCATTCCGCTGTCTTCTCATAGCCTGTACAGAATTTAAAAGAGTTTTGTTTACAACACGATAACTTAAACCAATCATATGATGTTGGACGACTGCCCCCCTCCCCAACCTGCATAGTCCAGCCATTTTGGTTGGCAACGTCCCAGTATAACCAAATACCGCAATTTTTCTCGCGTTTTCCGGTCGTTTTCGCCTTATTTTCACCATCAAAACCTTCTGGGTGTAACTAAACAAAGTGTGTAGATATCGGAGGTCATGTTGGTGGTGTGATTTTACGGTCTTTGGAGCTGATCTGTTCGTTAAAAACGCGTAAATTTGTCGCATGTGTTGCTCGCTCAACATACAAGTCGGGCCGGGCGCCATTTTTGAAGTGAAGTGATCGGAAGACAGACGAAAAAAATTACGTCGTCTGCCGACGATTTCTGGAGTGTAACTAACCTAGATGTATAGCAACAAACACAGTCGTGACATCAGGATCATTTTAATCATATCTATGGACAGGAAATCGGACGATTTCGGCAGCAAACCACGAAAGATGTGCGGGGAATTGAATGATAGGTTGTCTCCAAGCCAAAACACGGCGTCATGACTGTCTGGACATTTCTCCCTCGACAACAACGACCCATTTCAGGCTAAGATCTACAACTTACCTCAGCATCACGGCCTTTATGCTTGTAACTTCTGATCCTGTTGTTCAAGAAGTCGGCATAGCTTTCTCCAGACGACATTTTTGGGGAAATCTGAGGGAAATCCTCCCGTTCTCTCAA